AAGGGATGGACACTGGGAGGAGGTAACTATGGGGAGGAAGTGGGAGGGGAGCTGCTGCATTGTAAATTTTGGTCAATGACATGAGAAAAAGTATATGTGAACTGCTGTATGAAAAGTGAATTTACTCTGTAAATCTTCACCCAAATCCTAATAAAAAAATAATAATAATAATAATAAACACTATGGTGATTGAAATAAATGATGTATTTTGCTTTAGAAATGTTATTTGAAAAAAAACAAAACAAAAAAAAAATATCCCCTTCTCAGATATTTAAGTCTGCAATTATTTTCAAATGAATTTTTTTCAAGGGGAGTGGAATCTGCATGGTAAATCCCAGAAAGATGCAATTTCACATAATTTCTAAACTGAATATGAGTATTAAATTATTCCAGTCTGTCCAGATGCTAAAGGGACAAGCTGAGCTTAAAACACACTAAATGGTCCATAAATGAGAGTTTTACTAGAAACTGGAAATATAATCTTTATTATTGAAGAGGCTATTTAAAAAAAATAATCTGTTTTGATTATATCTTGGGCTCTGGAAATCTAATTGTTGTGAGTAAAGTGACAGTGAATTTAGTTAATGGACCTCCCTAATGACAAAGATTCTGGGCAAATGCCACGGAGTGTCTCAGGATTGGAACTAGGCTCTGCATCAGTGGGTGAAATCTGAGTCGAGTACAGATCAGATATGAATCAGCAGCAAATGCAAGTTATGGAGTCTAGGCATCAACTGCAAGGAGTAACTTCCAGAGACAAGAAAAATCTGGGGAGAGCCACTGTGCCCCTACAATGATTAAGCTGGCAATTCCAGGCAAAGCCTACCTCTGGGGCGGCCCTGACAATGAAGCATTCAATAGTGTTTTCTCGGGGAAATCCATACACACAAAGATCTTTTGTGCTGGGAAGCCTGGTCCTGAGTGTCCGATAGGCGGGAAAATTAAAATCATCAGCTTCCATACACTGACTGACCTGACAATGTGAAGAGTGATTCTGGCCCCTCTGTGCTCCCCCACTGCTAGGTCCTGTGTGTGCATGTGTGTGTGTGTGTGTGTGTCACTGGTGCGTGCAAGCACACACACTGAACACACACACTCACCCACTGTCCTAGGCCTCTTTTCTTCTGTGTTCAGGTCACTGGGAAATGAACCTTGGACCTTTTATTCTCCAATGTAAGCATTTCAGAGCACAATAGCCAACTATGTGAGTATGAAATGCTCTGCAACTTTTTCCCATTTTTTTTCCTTTCTTTTTAAAGAAATGTGGTTCAAACATCTCCAAAGCAGTTTGTTTATTCTGCAAAATTTTAACTGCTTCCCTAAAAGGTTGCCCCAAATACTACAACACATTGAAGGATTTTATATTGTTGGGTCTTTCTTTTTACCTTGAAACTTAAAAAAGGAGGAAAGAGTTGTTAGAGTCACTATTGATTTATAACTCAATGTGTCTGTGGTTTCAAACTATAAATATGTGTTTATATTTATCTATGGTGACTACTAATTTCTTTCACCATCCACTTGAAAGTGTCTGAGTCAAGGTCTTAATTCTCCAGAAATTTAATCTGGATTCATGTGTAGCCAGAGCCGCATGGAGAAGAGGTAATTTACCACACTGTTGTGGGTGGCTCCGCTGGGCTCCTCTCACTGTATTGTACCAAACACTCCCACCCTGCCTCATTATGGTCCCAGTGTTCCCCAGGGGACTCACAGTGTTTCTTGATACTGTGAGCTGAAGGGGAGTGATACACTGGTACAGAGAAAGAACAGGGTTGGCAAAAGAGGTCTTCCCCCTTCGTGGAAGGCAGAGATGACTGTGGGAACAGCCACCAGGGAACCAGCACAGGAACTATCTACCTGGATGGTTTCTTGTTAGCTTCTTTCTTTCTTTCAAGTTACGCTCTCTGGTGTCAACATTATATACAGCCGCGAGCTTTAGTTTTCCTTATTTTGCTTTTTGTTTTTAAAAGAGGCAGTGAAATTTTTACACACATGCAAACTTTGCCCTGAAATGTTTTAGAAATTTTCTAATGTTGATTCCCTGCTGGGTTGAGTGCCTTCTCCTTTATTAAAAACAAAACAAGGCTTTACAAATTATTAAAGGCAGACACTAAAATCTTTACTTTTTCAATCCCTCCAGCATATTCTTCATAAAAATGTTGCTAATATTAACAGTATCACATAGCACATTCCCCATTCAAGCCAATTGCTTTCCTAAGATTTGCAATGGATTTGCACTAATGTGGTTCTGCTTTGAGCAGGCTCCGGTTTAAATCAATCCAGATCATAATTAAGCCAAGTTGAAATGTAATGTGATCTCATTCCCTGGCTCCTTATTTCATTCTTCCCGCTGCTGCAAGGCATTATTATATGGGGGAGGGGAACTTCATCTCTTCAACTTTGTTTGGGAACCGCTTTATACTTCCCATTCTGAACTGTTTATCAGCAGAGCTGTCTGTAATGCTCTGTAAGAATACATGCTCTCTCCGGAGAGCTCCCACTGCACTGTGTCCCCATGTAAGCACGTGCACATGTGCATGCTCACACACATGTAGAGTGACATGTGTTACATTAAAAAGTTGTCTCCAAACACACTAACAAAGAGTCATGGAATAAACAGAAGAAGGTGGAAAGGGACATTCAAATAAATACAGACAGTGGCCTGCCGCAGACTCTAAATCCCAATGAAACCTGAGACCAGAGTCCACACAGACCTGAGGAAGACCGTTTTCATAAAATTAAAAAATATCACTGGGCCAAGGTGTCTGTCATTCAAAAAACAAAAAAAATGTTAAACATCAGGTCATCATGAGGCTTAAAGGGGGTTAGATACCAAGTCAAATTCTCGTTTCTTTGTTGACACCCCCCATCCCCATCCGCAATGATGCTAAATGTGATTTCCAAAACCAAATTTGAAATGTCCTCAAGAGAAACAAAAGCTACTGTAACAATAGACTCAGGCACAAAATTTTAGGATGATGGGGACAAACCACTGTATTCAATGAGGTAACATAATACAGGGAAATGCTTTATAAATGGCAACGTACTGTGCGTTATTAACAATTGCCTGTGCCTCGATTTTGATGGATTTGTGCTAATGTGCTCCACAGGGTTTTTCAGTGGCTGCTTTTTCAGAAGTAGGTCACTAGGCCTTTCTTTTAAGGTTTTGCTGTCTGCTTTTAATAATTTATAAAGCTTTGTCTTACTTTCAATAAAAGTGGAGCTCGAACCTCTAATCTTCTGGTTAGCAGCTGACTGTTAACCATCTGCTCCACCCAGGGGCCCAAGCACTAGAAACCAAAACCAAACTCACTGCCATTGAGTCGATTCATGCATGACAAGGGACTGTTATTATAAATCATCACTTGGCCTCTGGTGGGGTTCTAATTAGGATTTCGCCAGGACCAGTTTTAATTAGTGATACTGTTTCATTAACATCTACAGAGTTCGTATTTCCAAGGCACATGACAAGTTAGTGTGCTGCAAACATTTGTGTTTCAGAAGAGGTTTCAGCAACTAATATGCTCTCTTAACTCTCCCCCACCATTGCCTTTTTAAATATGCCAAGATAGATGATGTCACCAACAACACAGATTTCCACATGACGAAACATTAACCGCTTACAGCTTCTCGGAGACAGAGTTTCTTCAGCTCCTCCAGCCGCTGGCGTAGCGTTTCCTCCAGAGCTTCCTGCCTGGATTTCAAGGCAGCCAGCATGTCTTTCTTGGCCGACTGAGAGCTATCTGATTCCTGGGAGCCTGTCAATAAACAGTGGGGTTACCAGGTCAGCCGACAGGGACACACACATCTGGACCACTAATGAATTTAACTGGAGCCCACACTGTGGATAGGGGATTTACCCCGGGAATCAAGGGAGCGTGAAATAAAACAGGTGCTGCAGAGTTGCAAGTGTAAAGAGTGAATTTGCAGCACTTAATGGAATTTATAGCTAGTCAGAAGAGCTGGCAGGAACACTGGCCCCTGAAAGAGAAGTGTATCTTTCTTGATTATTTTAAGACATGCCACATACCAGTTTTAATTTTCACTAGCAAATTTTAATAGGCTTTACACAACTAAGGGGAATGTAAAGTTCAGGCTAGCAATTTTATTCTCTATTTTCAATTTTCTTTATTCCATTTGAGAATGCTTATTTTTCTAAGCTCAAAGAGAATGCATGTTTCTCATAAAATTTTTGAAAATGTAGACAAGTATAAAAATAGTCCATAAAACTACTCATTCTGAGATAACCACTGTTGATGTCTGCATGCATTTTCTTTTGATCCTTTTTCTAAGTACATACATATTTAAAATAAAGTTAGAATTTTATTGTATTTTTTTTCTTCATATTGTACACCATGAGCAAAATAATCTCCTAATAAAAGTAATATATATTTTTACACACTTTCCAGGATAGAAATAATCTACATATTGATTCAAAGAGAAGACAGCTAGGTAGGAAAGCTTTGTAGCAGGCAACTGGGGAACCAAACCAAAGAAAATTAAGCTGAAAGGCCAAATGGAGGAATGTAGGTTAAACCAAAAGAATAGTTTCTGGGCAGCAACATTTGGCTCCTGAAATAGATTTCCTGCAGTAAAGTTATCATACTTTTTCTACCCTGATGGATTAGAAAAGGTGCAGTGACTCCCTGGAAAAGGAAAAGTTGTTACTTTTCTTCTCATCCCTTTGTGGGGGGGTATGTATGTGGGGGGGACAGTGGTTTGAAAGGCACAGGTGTTATTGGGTGTGTACTCAAGCAAGGAGTGGCTCAGATTATGCCATTTATAGCAACATCAAAACCAAATACCTAGGAATAAATATAGTGAAAGCTGTTTAAGACCTCTACAATGAAAACTGTTGTTGTTAGGTGCCGTGGAGTCGGTTTTGACTCATACTGACCCCATGTTCAGTGAAAATTACAATACAACAAAACTAAAATGAAAGATTAAAGGGCTAAATCCATGGAGAGATATGCCATGAGCATGAATTGGAAGCACACAATTATAAAGAGGTCAGTTCTCTATGAACGAAATAACAGAATGCAATCCTGATAAAAACATCAATAGGAATTTTTTTTTTCCTGGGAAGTGGGCAGGCATTGTATCCCCATCCAAACCAAACCAAACTCACTGCCATAGAGTCAGATCTGACTCATAGCAACCCCTCCTTGGATTTCCGAGGCAGTATCTCTATGGAAGTAGATTGCCCAACCTTCCTTCCGAGGAGTGGCTGGTGGGTTTGAACTGCCAGCCTCCTGGTCAGCCTTAGGCACTATACCACCAGAGCTCCCTGTATCCCCTTGTGTTATGTGCCGTCGAGTCGGACTGACTCAGAGCGACCCCTCCTTGGGTTTCTGAGGTGGTATCACTATGGAAGTAGATTGCCATAGGAAGCAACAATTGCATACAGTTCAGGTTTCTATTCTGTTTCTTCCAAAGGTAAAAAAATAAAATAAAAAAGCATCTTAGAATCACAAAACTAGAAAGATTGTCTATGCCTTTGCCTCAGTAAGTATCTCTGTTATACTCAAATTTTCCCCATAAATATATCTTCTACTGTTACATTTAAAGTCTCTGAGCAGGAAACCCCATATTCCTTCAGTTACCATGTATCTAGAGTCTTATAACCCTAATATTCAGTAACTCTTCATGGCTAAGTATACTTTGACTCCAGGTTGGGTATTTTTCCTTTCTCCTGGCAGTCCATTCTAGCTTGAAATACAGAATACCTATCATTGCTGCAATATACCATCTTTATGGCTCCCCAGTAGCTGATAAATATTAGCTGGAGGATGAGAAAAATAAATGTTGTCTGTCATATACTTGGATGCTATAATTAAGTTGTAGCTCATCTTGATAAATCTAGTAGTTGCATGTCTTTTTCTTTACAGAATCTATTTTCTAAACTTTTACTCATTTTTGTAGCTCTTTCCTGGATTCTGTCATGCTTCAGTTGCAGGTTTCCCAATGCCATAGCAAACTCTCAGGAAAACTTGACCCTTACAGAGTCTACATTACCTCATGGTTTTCATATACTAAATCCACATGGTGTCACGCTCATAGAACACATTGCTGGATATTAGCAGGCTCCTTTTTAAAAACTGGTTCAGGTTTTCTACCTCCATAAGTCATTACTCTGCGCTTATCACTACTGAACTATTTTCAGTTTATATTCGTCTAACAGTAATATGCTAAATTATTTTTAAGAGTTTTAATCTGGTTCTCTTAGTTATAGTCACCAATCACATCTGAAGACACGGGACAATTTAATGAGGTACTCTCTGTTCCATCATCTAAAGAATTAATAAGAATGTAAAATAATACTGGAAGGAAGTCAGACTTTAGATTTAGAAAACAGACCAGGGGAAACTTGGGTCCAAGAAGATTAAAGGATTTCTAGCTCAAGTGAAACATTCATTGCTTTCCCTTTCACCTCTGCCTAACCTCTCAATAGGAAATGATGATTTATTAAGCATAACTTAAGAGTTAACTATGCTCAAAAATGGCAAAAACCACAACATTAAACTGAGAGGTTCGGTGTGTAATTTTTGGATGGTCTGGTCTCTAGTTATAGGATTATTTGAGACTTGGACATGAGTTATAAGATTCATTAATGCTATCCAAATTACTATGATTTATAATAATTAGCCCGAATACCAAACCCACATAAGATGACTAAGATAGTCTTGGCAGGTTAGATGGCTCAAGACACCTTCTTGGGTTTTGGCACCACTAAAGCTCACTGGCTCTGTTTCACACCTTTTTACTGGAAATTATTTCATGAGGAATATGGTACCTGGGTACAAAGTTAAGTCCTTGCAAAATAACTTAGCTTGCCCTGGACTTGCTGATTTTAGTAGTAACTGGATGTTGGGTAGAGGTTCAAATAGATCTTGGTTTGAAGAGGTCTAAATCATTCATTAGATGTGTGGCCTTGGGCCTCTTTTATTTGTTGTGAGGACTAAAAGAGAGAATGCACTAAAGCATTTAGCACCATGTCTACAATAGTAAAACCCTCAATCTTTGGTAGATTCCCTTACCATACTTCCCTTACCACCTCATTGCTGCTCAAGGAGGTACTGGTCAAAGAAAAGAACTTCATTATACAATTTAGTTTAAGTCTTGGGGTCCAAAGCTCACCTAAAGAAAGGCACAATATAGGTACAGTCAGTGTGGCAGTTAAATTTATGTGTCAACTTGGCAGGGCCTGGTTGAGTGGCTGAGCAGCTGGTGGTAGTTATTCCCCATGATGAGACTGGCAATCAACTCCAAGGTGGGATCCACCACAAGCTGAGTGGCTGCCTTAGGGAATATGGTCTGCTTCCTGTATATAAGGAGAAGTCTTGAGGATAGTCTCTAGCTTATAGAAGCTTGGACCCTGCAAGTAGCTGTGTTGTTGTTCAGCAGCCTGCCATGTTCTGCCAACCTGGGGACTTACAATGGACTTGAATTAATGGCCTGCTGTGTGGTTTGGTAACATTGGGACTGTGCCTTTTTACTTGTCAACCTTGGGCTTGGCAGCCTCAGCAGCCAGCAGCTGTCTGAGTGAAGAAAAGCCTCTAGCTTCAGTGGAGGCAGAGCTGAACCCCAAGGCTGAGGGGCTTTCACCCAGCCCCTAGAGCTTGGCACTTTGCTACAGATGAAGATAGGAGTGAGGGCAAGGAGAGGGAGCTGGTTCTGGGACCCTCTGCTCCACAGTCTTCGAGCATAGAGCAGATCCTCGCTAACTTAGTTTATGTATCCGGATTCTCATCATATTGCATTTGAAAACAGATTCCCACTGCCTATCTTTCTTTAAAGAAAAAAACCACTGTTCTGAGGCAAGGACTCAGCTCTATTTCCGGACTTGCAGTGTGGTCTGAGCCTGTGGGCACAGAGGTGTTTCCTCCAACTAGGCTAACATGGTAAACTGGATGAGGAGAAGGGGGCTGAGTGAGCCATGACAAGGACACCCCAGTCAGAACCCCACAGAAAGGGACCAGGAGAAGGAGGCCCAAACTGCTCTGTGATGCTGATGAAGCTTCCTACTTCTTCCACAAATGCCCTGAATGGAATGGTTGACATCTAAAATGGAAGACAGAAAGAAGCCAGAAATCAGGAGGCAGAGATTCACTCATTGGCTGGCCTCCAAAAGGCCCTTAATTGCCAGAACGAGTCTGGGAAGAAACTGAATTGGGCAGAAATGGAATCAGGCAGAAATTGCTTGCCAGCCTGAGGGGCTCAGCTCAACAGGAATCTCACAAAGGCAAGGTTCATGATCATATAAAAAACAATTCTAGACACCAAAATAATCTCAAATTAGTGCCTAGACTTAGGGAATGGTATGGAACATCTCTGTTACTATGGTTTATCTATTTCCAGTTGTCTAAACACGTACATACCATTCCCACACAAGAAAGCGTCAAGGTTATAAGTTTGGTCCCTTGGAAATAAAAATAATTTAAAAATATATGTAATTCCACTATCTTTGAGAAGGACAGCGACTGCTAAGAAAGAGCTGGATTTTCATCACATAGCTGCTACGCTCTGCTTTAAGACCTGGGGTTCCTAACCTCTCAGAGCCACCAACGTCCTCCTCTATAAAATGGCCAATTGATCAGTCTGAATTAATAGAGTAATTAATAGATTTTTCATAAATAATTTACTCACTCCTCTAGCAGTTCCCTCTGCCTCTAGCAGTTGGTTTTGTAAGTTTTACAAAAGGGACCTTGTATACAGTTTTATCTCCCCTCCTCTTTTCTTTGCCATCCCCACTTGCAGA